ATATAACAACATGTCCCAAAATACAATACGAACTTAGTCGAGGCTTTAAACTACGTCAAACAATGCCGAAATTACGAATCACGCATTGAATCGAATTATGAGTTTTAAATTCTTCCAACTTCTATATTTTGCGCCGAAACGTATCAAATTAATCCGTAATGACTTCAAAATTTGCGCGCAAGTCATAAATGATGTAATGGAGCTGTTCCAATTTTCAGAATCGAAATCCGACCTCGTTATCAAAAATTCAATCTTCGGTCGAACTTTCCAAAATCTTTTATTTTCCAACTTTTGCCAAAATGCGTCGAATTGTCCTACGGACTTCCAAATCCAAATTCGAACATATGCCTAAGTTCGAAATTATCATACGAAGCTATTGACACCATTAAAATTCTATTCTGGGGTCGTTTGCTCAAAAGTCAACTCTCTGGTCAACTCTTTCTATTTATGCTTCAAAATGAGAATTGTTCTTTAAATTTAATTCTGAATCTTCCGAAAATCAAGACCACACTCGCGGGGTCATAATATATATTACGAAGCTGCTCGAGACCTTTAGTCACTAAACGGGGCGTAAATTTTTAAAATGACAAGTCGGGTCGTTACACCAATTCCTGCTAGTGATCAATTACCTCACAACCTCAGTTCACCTAGTTCTAGTGGAACTAGTCAGAGTTTCCCTTCTTCCCTAATCCCAGCTGGTTTCCAGTCACCTCACATTGGTCATTCACCTAGAAACATCCCCCCCTCCCCCCCATCCAGCTCTCATTTCCCTAGGAGCAACTCTCATGATCATATCTTAACTTCACCTGTACCTAGAAGATCTAGTAGAGAAACTCAATGGGCAAGGCACTTCAAGCATTACATTTGTAATAACATCATCCTCACTCAACTTACTGATTCTTGTCTAGCACAACCTGCTAAGCCTAATGTTTACTCTTTTGGAGCCCTGTCAGCACAAAATCAATACATCATGCAGTCCATCTCAGAAGTGTAAGAACCTGTTAGTTATTCTCAAGCATCTATGCATCCTGGTTGGCAAAAGGCCATGGACTCAGAAATTGCAACATTACAAGAGAATCATACTTGGAATGTGGTGCTATTACCTAAAGGAAAGAAGGCATTGCCTTGCAAATGAGTTTACAAAGTCAAGCATAAGTCAGATGGATCAATAGAGAGACTCAAGGTTAGATTAGTAGTTAGGGGAGACATTCAAAGGGAAGGAATAAACTATACAGACACATTATCCCCAGTGGTCAAAATGACCACTATAAGATGCTTAATGGCAATAGCAGCTAAGAAGGAGTGGCCTATATATCAATTAGATGTGAGCAATGCTTTTATACATGGAGATTTACAAGAGGAAGTTTACATGAAACTTCCTTCTAGAATGTCTTCCCCAAGTCCCAACCATGTTTGTCTGCTCAAAAAGTATTTTTATGGCTTAAAGCAAGCTTCACAGCATTGGAATGCTCGGCTTGCAGGTGCTTTAAGTTTCAAAAGATATTCTTCCTCCATGAATGACTACTCTCTATTTTTTAAAAGTACTGGGAATCTAACTTCTATTGTCGCAGTGTATGTAGACGACATTCTTATTAGTGGCAATGATTCTTAAGAAATTTCAGCACTTAAGTCATTCCTTAGTACATAATTCAAAGTGAAAGATTTGGGAAATTTGCACTATTTCCTAGGGATGGAAATTCTCAAGGAAGCACAAGGGATTATCGTGTGTCAAAGAAAATTTACCTTGGATTTATTGCGGGAATTTGATGTTTCCAATTCATCTTGTATGTCCTCCCCTCTTGAACCATTTTGAAAACTCACCGCTGATGAAGGCCTTTTGATCTCCAATCCCACTGTATATCGTCATCGTGTTGGGAAACTGAACTATTTGACTCACACAAGGCCAGACCTGTCCTTTGCTGTCCTTAAGCTCAGTCAATACATGCAAAGTCCACGACTTTCAGACTATATGGCAGCCATTCGAGTTCTGAGGTACCTCCGCTCAGATCCTGGACAAAGGGATCATTTTGAACTCGGATCCCTCTCTCAAGCTTGTTGCTTTCTGCGATGCAGGCTAGGCTTCTTGCCCTGAATCCAGTCGCTCTATCAGTGGCTTATATATTGCACTAGGAAGATCACCCATCTCATGGAAATCAAAGAAACAAGCCTCTCTTTCTTTGTCCTCCGCTAAGGCGGAATATCAATCCATGCGTCGAGTTGTAGCTGAGTTGACATGGCTAACTCGATTACTTAAGGATTTATCTGTATCTCCTTCTTTACCGGTTCCTGTTCTCTCTGATAGCAAATCGGAAATTCATATTACCCGGAATCCAGTATTTCACGAAAGGACCAAGCACGTGGAATTAGACTATCATTTTGTTCGGCAACAGTATCTTTCCGGTCTAATTACACTCGCATACGTTCCTTACTCGTCACAACTCGCTGATCTTTTCACCAAATCTCTCTCAGGCCCAGCTCATAATTTTGCTATTAGCAAGTTGAGTGTTACTTCCGTCCCCTCCAACTTGAGGGAGGATGTTGAGATAATGGCCTCTCATGCTTTCTTTCAGAAGAAGAATGAAGATGAAAGCACAATGAAGAAGATGACTCTAGGGTTTCTGACAAAAACATTAAGTTCGGAGTTTACACAGAATGAGAAACATAAAATGTGAAAGGGAATTTGACACGTGGCTCATCTTTGAACGTTGATGATTAAATTGGTAGATCAATTGTGAGCCGTCCAGATTAAATGAGTGCAGCTTATTTTCACATGCTCCATACGTGTGACATATCATTGTAAAGGAATCATTTTCTTGTTATGTAGGTTACTACTTAGCCAATAGAATTGTAGCAAATGTATTGAAATTTATCATTTTCTTTTATAGTTTATTTACACTAGGTTTTACATCCTTAACTGGATATACTTCTATAAATACATAGCCTTTCAGGGCTTGAACCCTTCGTTTGTGGTATGCTTGCATTCAGTAAAAGGGGTAGGGGAGACTTCAAGCAGAATTGTGTTTCTCTGACGAGGAGTTGGTGGTTGTTTCAGATTGAGAAGCTGGGGCCATACTGTTCGGTTAGAATTGTGGTAGGAAAGAAAATTGAAAGGAATAAGATGAATGTTTTGCTATGGGATATTGTTTGAAAAGCTTTTAGGATGATAATGGTTATTTATAGTGGAGATGTGGCCTTTTTTTATTCTTCATTTAGTTAGTGGGGTTGGTGGAGTGAAACTCAAACCCCCCCCCCCCCCCTCCCCCCTCCCTCTTCTATCTATTTCATTGCGCGAAAATTATTTATATTTCTCAAATTTGTTTTAAAAATCAAAGTAATCTTCAATTCGGAAACTTTGAATATCTATGTTATCCTTCTGTCTAAGGTGACTTCTTTAAATATCTATGTTATCCTTTATAATTTTTATCTCTTATTTTTATTCTTTAATATAATGATATTTTTTATTTTAATTTATTTTATCCACTTACCTATAGACAAATTAAAAAAACTTTTTCGAAACCAAAAAAGTAAGAAGTAGTAGTCAAGCATATAAATTAATGACATTCAATAGTGAAATAAATGAGAAAAATAAAAAACTATAATAAATAATCTACTCGTATCAGTAATTTTATTAATAGCAACCAAAACTCAATCTATTTACAAAATTAAAAATAAAAGAGAGTGAATATTTTAAAAATTATATAATGCAGGTAATTAAAAAAATAATGGGCGAAAAATAGAGGTAAATTTTATAATAAATTTGTAAAACATATCTATTTACACTTTACATGAACTTTAATTCTAATTTTTAGAAAAAATCTACTAACAACAATTAAAACTCAAAATTTTATATACACATGGAGAATAATAAAAATAGTGAAACTTAAAATCTCTCTCTCACACACCGGCATACATTATTTGTATTTTAATACATATAATATTATAATAATAATAATAATAATAATAATAATAATAATAATAATAATAATAATAATAATAATAATAATAATAATAATAATAATAATAATAATAAAGTAGCAATATATTTTGTAATAAATTCATAATATGATTATTTTATTTATAATGTTAGTGAACTTACATTAAATTATATAATAAGATATAATATTATGAATAAATACTTGCATTAAAAATATTTAGATAATATAAAAAAGGTATTACGTATATGGGGAGTTGAAAATATGAAAGGATAAAATAGACATTGCGTAGGATGAAAGGACGAAAAGGACAATTAATCAAAGTTGGAGGAATATGAATTTGATTTTTAAAGTAAACTTGAGGGATATAAATGATTTTCACCCTTAAACATATGATTAGTTAATTAAAAAAACTTAAATATATGATTAAAAGTTTTTGAGTTGGTGAAAGAGGGGTCTCCATGCACTTTCATATTCATTTTTGCCTCCTCTTTTTCTATGGAAACAGTCAAACAGTGCTCCTAAAGCAGGACCCTTTTTTAGAGCCACAATAAATTTTTGGGATAAATTCAGAAACTTTTCTTTATAAAATTTTGCTTGTGAACGCTAACTTTCCTTATAGTTATAATAATATTATGTTTACATTACTTTTATCTTATTTTATGCAGAGTGATGAGTGTAAATATAACTCAAAATTAGTGACATACTCAACACGAATCTAGTAAATATACCTTTTTCTAGTGGACCTACTCAACACGAATCTGGTAATTAGTCATGTTAGTAAACATCGGATATCAGATAATTTTAAAAATAATATAAAGAAAATAAAAAAGAAGTTATGGGTAAACCCCAAACCTTCATACGATCGACTAGCTTCCTCTCCTCTAGCGAAAGAACTTTGTCAATCTAGTCAACCTGCCAGTTGCCACTTACCCACCACGGACAGTCCTTTGACTTATTAAAAGAAATGATTTTTCTTCTACCACTTGTGGATATAATTAAACTGAAGAACGGCGTACGTAATTCTCCTATAATAATTAAATTAATAACAAGTCGAAACTTATGCAGTAAAATATTAAGGTGTGGTTGTTACCACAGAACTAGTAAAATGTACATTTTGTTGTTGTATATTACATGTCCGACCAAGGCCAAACTCAACCAAAGGAAAATTTAATTAACACTAAGCACTGGCACATAATTTAAGCAAGACAATAATAAATTAATTCAGACATAAATTTCTTACTTTCAACTTGTTTTCTACCTGACGAATCATCAGCAATAACATCAAGTATGAAGAATTTTTGATAAATATAAGAACAGAAAATACCAAGGTCAAAGTAAATAATGCGCCATCTTATTGGGTTGCTTAAACTTTATCAATCTATATCCTCCAAGAGTAAATGCTTGATGTGATCCTGATAAAAGAATGAAGAGAGAAAAATAAAAGAGTCTGGATATATATATATATATATATATATATATATATATATATATATATATATATATATATATATATATATATATGAATAGTAGAACTTGAACAAGAAAACATGGTCAAAAAGAAAAAATGAGAAAGAAAAAAAAAACTACTCAACTCCTCCGACCCATAAACTTATTTAAAATTAGTATTGAAACTTTCTTAAAAGAAAAGTGAAAATTACCAATTCTAGTTCAAGATTGCTCAAAGTATGACCACATCAAGTTTATAAAGAAATAAATTACTTGCTTTGGACTCAGACTCCGAAAGTCCACATTGAGGGTAAAACGATCCTAACTCACTATAATTTGTTTATTTTGCATTGACATGTTCTTACCCTCTTTAGAAATATTGAAAGAATGAAATATTCAAATTAAAAAGGATAAAGGAAAAGGAAAACAAACAAAGCAAAACTATAATTTCCAAATTGTTTTTCACTTTATACATTTTGGAGATTCAGTTGTATTATATTATAAACATTTATAAGCAACTTTTTGGTATTCTGAAATAGGAAAATAATTAACTTCTAATATTATCCATATTTAACTAATATTCAGGGCCCGTTTGGCTATAAAATATTTTTATTTCCTTAAGAAAATTTATCTTTTTCGAAATCAGTGTTTAGCTATGAAAATTTTAAATTTCACTTGAAAATGAATATTGAAATTTTTCGAAAATTTGAAAAACTTCGCTGTTTTTGAAAGTTTTCACTTCAAATCACTCACAAAAATTCAAAAACAGCTCCAAATTGTATTTATGTCCAAACACAACTCTAATTTTCAAATACCATTTTCATTTAAAATTATTTTTTCTATTTTTTTCGAAATTTCACAATTCTTATGTCCAAACGCCCACTAAATCTCTATTTGTTATTAAGAAAGATACCTCAATCTCGTGACGTGGTGTGTCTAATGAGAAGCTTTTGTAAGCTACACCATTTCTGTCTACGAGAAACTTGTGGAATTCACTCTTGATAGGTTCTCCTCTCCCAAATTTTAACCTTAGATGTACAAAGAGTGGATGTGCCCTTTGACCATTCAGTTTTACCTGTTATTATTGATATTGGAATTTAAAATTTTCCAATAAATGAAAAAGAAAAGAGAATTTATTTATCCACTCAAGTCATGTAATTGAATAGTTTAGTTTCAGAAACACCTGACCTTTGGATATATTTAAACTACATCGAGACGATTCGAGCCCGTTTGGCAATGAAAATTTTTTCACTTTGTTTTCGAATTTCTTTCACTTTTTTTCTAAATAAGTATTTGACCAAAAAAATTTAATTTTTACTTGAAGATGAATTTTAAAAAACTCCAAAAAGTTATTTTCAAAATTTTTACTCAGATCACTAACAAAAATTCAAAAACAACCCAAAATTATATTCATGTCTAAACACAACTCTAATTTTCAAATATCATTTTTACTTGAAATTTTTTTTACTTTTTTTTCCGAAATTTTACAATTCTTATGTCCAAACGCCCAAAGTTGTTATGAAAACTAGTTAGATATCAACAGTTTTCTAAGTTATAGTGGCAAGAAATCAACTCTATAGCATTACTTGTAGTTTTTAGATATCAAAATATTACTATTACAAAAGGTTAATGAATATTTATCCGAACTAATTCCAAGGGGATCAAATTAAATGTAACTCAATAAAAGGAGGGGAAAAAGAGAAGTGTGATTGATAATACTAATTGAGTCGTATAGATAAGATCATGCATTTAATTTGCATCCTAAAAGGAAGAGAAAAAACAAACCTTGTCGAATACTCGAAATCTAGCAGCATTAATCTCTACCTGTCCCCTTGATGGTGCTTTTTGTGCATCATTTCCTTCTTTATCAGTTTCTTTCTTATCGTACACAAATGCTGCAATCTCGAACCCTACGTATAATGGAATAGTATTCCTCTTATATCCTCTTTTTCAAGCCATCGGTGAAAGAAGATAAATCAATATTCCTATTTCTAATCGTTATACCAATAACAAATTACACGATTATGAGTGTGATGAATTTTCTAAAGAGTGTTTGTTTAAAATTTATTATATATTTATACAAGTAATTTTTGATCTATATACATAGTATAATTTTCTATATACTCAATATAATTTTTCAGATCAAATTGTCGAATTATTAAATGTGTAAGATCAAGATACTTGAGCAACAAAAATTAGTACATATAATGTTTAATAGATGGATTAAAACTATATCATTCTCAATTATACATAGGCAAAAAAATCATAAAGCTGGTGCTAGCTAGGGATAATAATTAGCGTATAGCAGGGTCGATCTAATAAACTGCTCCAAATATATATAAGTGCTGTTAATAAAAATGATAGAAATATAACAACAAAAAAACAAAAAAACAAAATTTAAGCTACTTACCTTGAGATTTATGGTTGTCATATAGATAATGGAGTAATTCATACTGCGATTCTGTCCACACGGAACTGAAACCAGCATATGCAAAATTTCAATCTTACATAGAATTTAACCACAACGTACTCAACGTAAATTCCTAAAAGTTTAAAGTGAAATAATATTCGATAATCCTCTGAAAATATATTTTAAAAAATAAAGCTAATTGAAATATCATTTCAAATATTATAAACTGCTGTTGCAGACTAGAAAAAAAAAATTCATATACCTTTATGGTGTTACACTATTGTTTATAAAGAAATAGATATATATGACAAGTTTACATTTACCCATGAGAAGCCATTTTAATGAATAAAAGACATACTTAGACATTTTCTAATTTAAAACACAAGTAAGAAAAGTAAAATAAAGTAAATTATAAGCTAATACTCCTTCTCAAAGTTTCAGTATAAAGGGGTAAAGTAAAAATCAGCAAATTAAATGAATTATGCTCATTTTATGGATGATAGGATACCCTTGCTCAGGAACATTGACAATCAGAAGAACCTTCCCTCTAAAGCAACTGAGTGAGAGACCTCTTCTCTTTTCCTGTGTGAAAGATGAGATACAATATTATTTCAGTTGTAAAAATAATAAAAGAATGAATAAATATTAGTATTACTTTGAACTCTTAATTAAAGTGGAACTTATCAGCAGAAAGACAACAACAGAATAAAATCTTACAAAGAGAAAAAAGAAAAAGAGAAAAAACAGATACCCAAATTTAGACTTCTCCTCAAACTGGAAAAAGGCAAGAAATTAAAGTAAGAGTAGTACATAATTATATGTGACAAAAACCAAAGCAAATAGATAGGTTTACCAGAAAACTATTCTTGTGCTCTAAATAATGTAGTAACATTCTTCTAATCTTGAGGTTATTTGTCAAATATTTGATAGCATTCCATTACTAATTAATTTCCTCCACAACTTTTAATTACTAGCTAATATGAGAAAATTAACTTATTCAACCTATAAAATTTACATTTTGAAATGATGCTTTGTTTCATCAAACTAATTTTCAACTATTATTACTACAAAGGAGGGGAAGAGTATATACATCCCAATATGTAAACAAAAAAGTGAAAAATAACAATGAAAAAGCCATACCTTTGCTTGGAATTCATAGATGGTGTGTTCTCCAAGTGGAGATGTTTGGGCAGTGATAACATTCAAAGATGGAGATTTTGATACAAATGTTGAGAAATTTGGTGAAGGAAAAGTGAAGTCACCATTGCTAAATGAAGATTTAGAGGATTCAAGAGAGATCTTGTTGGATAAATAAATACATGAAGAAGAGTTTATTCTTAGTTTTAAATGTGGTAAAGCATTCAAAGGCGATGAAAGAACCATAGAGGTCATTTTTATTTTATGTTTTGTGTTGTTTTGTTCTTTGAGTTTGAAGTTTGGACAATGACTTTATATATAGATGGCTACTTAATTTACAAGTGATTCCGATTGCTCGCGGTCATTCATAGCTTTAGTAGAAGCAAAAACTTTTCGGACAAGCGAAATAGACAAATTATTAAAGGTAATTATGAAGATTATTTTCTGCTATTATTTTCACTAATAAACTTTACTCAACTATATAAATTAAATAAGGTGAACTACATATTTCCATACCAATATAATTTGACGACGATAATCTAACATCAAAGGCTAAGCACATTAATTTTTACACCATCCGTTAAGTTTTATTGTCCGACATAACTCAATTTTGAGGTTACACGACATTTTAGACATTGATGTGACCAAGTGTAACCTGATAGTATCAAAAAACAGTAGACAATCTAAACGTAATAATTGGTATATATGTATAACAAACTAAGCTCGCATTTTGTATCACTGGAAACAAACGCAATGATCATGTCTGCTGAAAAAAATTATTTTATCTTAGATTTAATGGGGAAAAAATTGACCAAATTTTAAAATATATTTCCTCGACAGTTTGCCTTTGCAAATCATTATAATTTGTTATGTTTTTCGTGTATATGTTAAATAGTAATAGTAATTTATTTTTTCAGGAGAGGAAAGAGGTTTAATAGTTATGATGGAGGGAATAGTTCTTATACCATTTCAACGTGATAAGCAAAGAATTTTGCTGATCAATGTAAAAAGCTTAAAGATTGTGTGGGGTGGAGATCTCTTTGACATAGAAATTCTTTAATTCCGCCTTTAATGACAGTAGTGTAACTTCAGAGGGAAGAACCAAATCTTTTTCTAATTCTTGCGGCCACCGACGGGGCTTGTTTTTCCTATGTTCCTCTTCTTCTTTACTTTTCTTTCTGTTTATGTATGGGTTTAAGCAAGTATCGTTAAACATAGTCTTTCCAAATCTGGCCTTCTTTGACAGTACACATGAAATACAAAATGACAAGTTACATATTTGGCTGGTCGGCTTAAAATAACAAGATATGCAAGCTAAATATACAAAAGATATACACAGATTATGTATATCGTATATTAATATACAAAAAATATATAATTTCTCGATTATTATTTTTGGAGCGACTATATGATATTGTTTTCCCAAATAAATATTGTCACGACCTACGCTGGAAATTGTGACCGGCACCTAGTCGACCTATTCGTTTTCTTTTTCTTTATAATAACTTGGACCGACCTTAGACGAGCACTTCTGGAGATCACTAACATAAGTAAGGAGAGCAAAACAATATAACGATAGCTAAAATGACTTCTTCCTGCATAATGTTAGGTATCAAAGAAAATCAATTTTGGCTTCAAAGAGGTCGCTTATCTTTGATGAATAAATGAAAATTTGAATTATACAGTGCAACACAATCAAATCCGAACAAATGAAATATTGAATTGAGTCGTAAAATATCTACCAGGGTTATTACTCATTTTTGCTATTTTATTTTCCAATTTTTTCTTCAATTCTTGATCGTCCATCAATGGGCACTTAGGCCTCATTTGTTTTTCTTAAAATTAAGATATTTGAATCTGAATACATATCTAAATATTAAGATGTGTATTAAGATCTGAATACAAAATGATTAAGACTGTTTGTTTTTTAAAAATATGAATGTATAAAAGTTATCTTAATTTAAATATTAATAAACATAAAATTCAAATAAAATACTAATTAATCTAATAT